GCGGAGCCGTGGTGGGCTCGCCGCCCTCCCTCCGGCACTCTGGCCACCAGGGAGAGCGGAGCCCCGGCCAGCTCGCTGCCCTCCCCCCCAGCGCTCTGGCTGCCGGGGAGAGTGGAGCCGCCGCGGGCTCACCGCCCTCTTCCCGGTGCTCTGGCCGCCGGGGAGAGTGGAGCCCTGGCCGGGCTCTCCGCCCTCCTCCCGGGGCTCTGGCCGCCAGCAGAGCTGCGGCAGGCTCGCCGCAACAAAAATGGTTAAATGTCTAGAAAACATGACCTATGAGGGAATATAGAAAACTAGAAGACTAAGGAGGGACATAACAGTTTTCAAGTACATAAAATGTACTTACAAGGAGGACGGTGAAAAATTATTCTCATTAACCTATGAGGATAGGACATGAATCAATGGGCTTAAATTGCAGCAATGTAGGTTTGGATTGGACATTAGGAAAAACTTCCAACTGTCAGGGTAATTAAGCACTGGGACAAATTGCCTGGGGAGGTTGTAGAATCTCCAGCATTGGAGGTTTTTAAGAACAAGCTAGACAAACACCTGTCAGAAATGGTCTAGTTATTACTTAGTCCTGCCTTGAATGCAGGGGACTGGACTAGATGACCTATTGAGGTCCCTTTCAGTCCAACACTTTTACGATTCTTTGATTTCTGCCACCAGGCCCTATAAATCTGTTGACTTCATAAAACCATCCTTAGCAAGAGTTCTCTTTATTTTCTAGTTATAATGTTCCCAAATGGCAGAATTGTTGGTCAAAACATATCCATGACCAATGGCTGTGATGGCACTTTTGACAGTCTGAGACAAATGTGTGTCAATTTTAAACCACCTATGACATTCCATCAGGGCCGGCTTTAGGAATTGCCGGGCTGATTCAAACAGTTTCGACGGGGCCCCAGCAGGGATGACTCACCCGGCGGCGCTCTGGGTCTTCGGCGGCACTTTGGCGGCAGGTCCTTCACTTGCTTCGGGTGTTCGTTGGACTGCATAGTGGTCTGTCAGAATATAAGATGCTGAATTTTTATACTGCTGTTCATTGCCTGCATTTTTTGCCAGTGAAGTATTGCATGCACTGTACCTCTGTGACAAACTGCATGAATTTTCCAAAACAGTCTCAGGCCCCAAGGATCTTCAATAAAATCAGTTTTATTAGAAATAGAGAAAATCTTAACAAAACAAAATAACTGGTATGAAACGAGGAGGTGCTTAAATGTAAAGCTGAGCAAATAATTGATTTTTGGTTGGGGGCTGAACTCAGTCTGATTTTTTTTTTTTTTGCATTTTTTCCTCATCAATATGCAGAACCGAAAACATTTTGTTTCAGTTAAAAGAAAACCCCCTGAAACTAAATGAATACATTTTACTTAATTTGAGGTTTTATATATATGTGTGTGTGTGTGTGTGTGTCTAAGCGAAACCTAGTTTTGAAATGATTACTCAAAACATTTTTTTCAAGACTCTTGAAATAAATCATTTTGACTTTTGAGGGGGGGGGGGGAATATTTGGGGAGGGTTGAACTATTTGCTAGATTTGACCAGGATTTGCCAGTAATCTTGGTGCCCCAAAAAGTTAATTCTTCAGCCACTTTACGCTTCACCGAAAAAATTTCACCCAGCTCTACTTAAATGGTCTCAGCACAGAAATATCTGAGCTCTAATAACCTTTCCCCTGCCTCAAATACTCCCCCTAATATCTGCTTGAGTTTCTGTGAAATGAAGACATTAACCTGCATTATCATATTGACTTCAGAGGTGGCATTTTATAAAAACCATAATGATTGCACCTCCTTTGGAAGCAGACAGTACTCCTTTTTCCAAGGCCAAGACACTGGATTGCCTTTTGCTGTCGCAACACCCAGCTGTACATCGTTGTCTGAGATTTTGGTTTTGCATATTCGAATAGGCCTGTGTGTCTCACAAATGTATGCTGCAATGCAAAAAGGTGCACCTAGAATTCTGTGATGCCTTTGCTGAAGCTGACTCAATTAATAGGTAAATAGCTTATAATGTCTCAGCCCAAACTAGTTTCCACACCTTAAAGGTTAATTTTCTTTCCTGGCTAAAGTGATTAGTCAGATGTCAGTATCTCCATAAGTCCTCAACTTAGGGCAGGTCTTCACTACGGGGTGGGGTCGATTTAAGATACACAAATTCAGCTACGTGAATAGCGTAGCTGAATTCGACGTATCGCAGCCGACTTACCCCACTGTAGGGATGGCAGCAAAATCGATCTCTGCGGCTTCCCGTCGACGGTGCTTACTCCCACCTCCGCTGGTGGAGTAAGAGTGTTGATTCGGGGATTGATTGTTGGGACGCGATAAATCGATCCCTGAGAGGTCGATTTCTACCCGTCGATTCAGGCGGGTAGTGTAGACCTACCCTCAGAGATGGGGCCCATGTTCCCACTGGTTCCCTCTTCTCTGTTTAAAATAGAAATTCCTGACAGATGAAGCTGCATCCATCATAATTATGCTTATAGTAGAAGGAATAATCATTTTTTTAAAAAATTGTAGTTAAAAGACATGAATTGTTACATACAGTAAAAACTCTATTCTGAGCTGCTAGGCAAAGAATGTTCCATCTCCATATCAGTCATCAGAACGTATGTAAAATTAAGTGGGGGAAATTATTTCACCTACCCAGATGGTGCTGGTGGAGAAATGCAGCACAAATTGATATGGGCAGGCAAATCCCTTTTAATTAGAACTGATTGGGAATTTTCCAATGAAATACTTTTTTATCAGAAAATGTTAGTTCATCAAAACCAAAACTGTGTTTGCAAAACAGGGTTGGTTTTGACAGGTCTCACAACTCAAAAATGTATTGGAAAAAAGTTTTGAAATTGTCAAAATGTCCCATTTTTGAACCATTTTTAAAATTTGAAACAACTTTCTTTTTGAAATTTTAGTAAATGTATACTCAACAAAGTTAAAACATTTTTTAAAGATCGAAATCAAAACAAAATAGTTGAAATTCTCGAAATGAAACATTTCAATTGACCTGATCTGCACATTTTTTTGGATTGTTGGTTTGTGAAAATTTTAGATATTTTGATTTTTTTGTCCCCTTTCAGGAAGGGAATGAGTGCTGAAAATCTTGAAAATGCTCACAGGGCATGAAAGCTACTTTCCATCCACATCTACTTTAATGGGTTTAAGATTTATTTTTACTATTCTTTTTACAGTACACTCGTTGTTGGGAATTGAAAGAGGAGGAGAAGGAAGAGGGATACTGCAAAAAGTGTACTTTGAAAATTAGGGCTAGTTTCTGAAACCCTTCTTCAGGCTGATGATACCTTTCACCACAAGTAGCCTACTGAAGAAAAAAGGGCTGTTTGCCAGTAACGTAATACTCAGTGTAAGGATGTCAGAATATAGTCTTTAATATTTAATTTTTCAGTTGTGTATGTATAAAATCTGTTTCAGCATTAACATCAGCAGTGATTCCTGTTTGATATTTGCAGTAAGGATTTTTTTAGCAAGGCTTTTTTCCTCCCTTACTATATTTTATGATATTATTAAGGTGTTTTCTCTCCCGCCCACACTTCTCCCCACTTTTTTCTTTTCCTGTTTTTGATTGAAGCCTAGATATATTGATGGGATAAGGAGGATTTTCACACACACTGGATATTTGTATTGTTTGTAGAATCTTTATTTAAAAGAGACATTTTCTTGAAAGTACCTCATACCTTAAACTATCCCATTTTGGTCTCATCTGAGTGATAAATGACCATTAACACGAGTTCTTGTTAGTGGATTTGTTTGTAACTGGAAATTAAATTTTGCATTTAATTTCCTGCTGGAGCCAGGTGGTGCGTTGGTTCTTGGAAGAAGAGATGACTAGAGAATGCCACATTGAATTGTAACCTGCCTGGGACACACTTCCTACACAAGCTGCTTCTACCAGTACATACCAAATTCAGATCAATACATTACCCAAGTCAAAATTGACACATTCCCTTCTAACTTAGAGCAGTCTTAGCCAAGCCTTACTTTTTATTTGATTTATTTTTACCCAGTACATACAACATAATCCAAGCTCAAAAGGTTGTAGAAAGTAAATAGTACTCAGTTGTTCCAAGGTTGAAACTTTTGCAATTAGAATAGACAGCCACATGCCCATTACTGGCAACTTTCTTTCACAATGGTAGTCAGGAGTGCCAGCTGCCTGAGAATCATGTAAGATTTTTGTAAGGGAAGGGTAGATTATCAGTGTGACAGGGTGGCCTGCCCCTTTAAAGGCCGAAGAACTGGAGCCCCTGTGCAGTTAGCCCTGCTTGCCACACTTGGGATGGAGCCTGGGGTTAATTAGTAGAACTAACTGGGTAGAAACTGCAGCAAGAAACTGCAAAGTAAGGGGAATGCATAGGAAGCTGTACAGAGAGTGAAAAAAGCACAGAAGACCCTGAGATCAGGGGAGTTGCTCCATCTAGGAAGGGCTGGGAGTAGCCTGCTAAAATAGGAAGGAACCTGAGACACCAGTTGGACTTTTTATTTAGCAAGGTAAGTGGATTCCTACAAGCTTAGCATATTTTCTGTGTGTCTGTGTTCAAACACAAGTAAAAGAAGAATGTGGTATCTTTCATAAACTGTTGTGTAGTGTTACCCCACAGGTGCTTTCGTTTCGGTGGTGGGTGACTTGATTGTCGTATAGCCAGTCTGTAGGTTTTATAAAGTGCTTTAGGGACCTTTGTGATTACGGTGCTACATTCTTCTGTGAAAGCTGATAATATCATTTTATCATTGCTGGGCATATAAGGTGCTTCCAAAGTCTTGTGAAACATTTAATGATTGGTCAGTAATAAGATCAGCCAACTTCTCTGAGATAAAAAACGTTTAATAGAAAAATGAGTCAAACATTAAGCAATAATTCTTCTAGTGCTGCTTTTGGTTTCAGTACAGAAAGGTGAAATACTTAACTTCAGTGCATTCAACACAAAATGCTATTGTTCCCTCCCTTAAAAGAAAACGTAAGTGCAGCTTACATATGCAAAAGTTTAAAATACCCATAGGTTTTCCATTATCCTTTAAATCTTTTCTATGATAGCTCCTTAGCACTATTGCTTGAAACTAGAATCTGTTTCTTTACGAAACACAAAAATGTACATTGGAGGGGCCTTTCCCCCTTCAGCTTCACCAGCAGATCAAATAACAAAATAATTCATGTGTCAGTGTGGGAAAATTCTGGACATTTCTCATGTGTTTTCCCCTTATTATTACAGAGAATTTGACACACCATTGTAAAACAATTATCCCCTACCCCAGATGTCTAAATAGAAATACAGGGCCTGATACTCTTTTTTTACACTGGGGTATCTTCAGTAGAGATACTTCTTGCTTTTACAGTTGTGTCAATATACATGAAATATAGGTATGAGCCAAAACTATGGAACTATTTATGGACTACAGTGGATGATTCTGGCTTCCTACACAACTCCCAAGCTTCCACCAGGCTTTGGGGCTGGATCCAGAGCCTTTTTACACCCACCCCAAAAAAGCAATATGAGACCAATTCACCATAGAGAACCTGAGAGAGACTCTCACTCCATCAGCTGCCTAATGCTGGTTTTTCAGTGGGCAGGGTTTACTCAGGCCTTAACATCAATCCTAATGCCTATCCCGATGAGGTAGGTAAATGAGTAAAATGGAACCCAAATTGAATCAACCCTTGTTTTTGTTTTGCAAATCTAAATCTCGACTGAAAGAGGGTTGGCAAAATCAAAACCCATTCCTGGTTTTACCCATCTCAATAAACATCCCATCTATAAACTATATAATGGGCTGTTATTTGGCTTTCCAGGCAGCCTACAGTGGATGATGGAAAAATGCCAATGCTACTTTTTTTGCTCTTTTGCAGGACTGTGTATTCAGCTGCACTACGTCTCTTCCTCCTCATCATCAAGGCTAGTGCCAGGGCACTGTGAACAAGGGCAAAAAACGAGGTACAGGGAGAGCAGCTGCTTTTCTGGGCCTTATCTAAAGGCTCCCCCTTTAGTCCAACAGACCAGCTGCTAAGTGAATTCTGACCAGCTAGCCACTGCCCGCCTGGCTCCCCTTGTCATTCCTGTTCCCTTGCATGCCTGCTCCTCTGAAACAGCACACCCAGTGTCCTATTCCAGGCCTCATGGACTCATTGGTTAACAGCCCTCAAATTATATGGGACATTAGCCTCCCATAATATTATTTTACACAGTAGGTTTTCATCAGAAATGAAGCACTGAACTGAGGTGGTGTTATGATGCTGCGCAATTTACTGTACTTTGCTACACGAAGAGAGGCGGGAGCAGAGGACAGCTCCAGGTCCCTAATTCTTACGGTCTCTGGGCTCCATACTCCCTCTGTATTCTCAGCGAAGGGGGAGGGATGGGTTAAATATGCCATGCTCTTCACATTGTTTTTAATTTTCCCATTATTCTTCCCAGGTCAGGGCCTTGAGCTATGCATTTTCATGCTTTTCACATCCTCCTCCTGGGAATGTCATTGGTAAGGGAATACAGCTCCAGTCAATGCACATGTGAAGAGAAAGCAAATACGTGCACATTCATTCCCTGTGGAATCCCTGGGAGCAATGGTTTACCAGGAAGAGACGGGAAGGAAGGTCCAAAAGGAGAAAAGGGAGAGCTAGGTATAACAATATAAAAATTTCTCAGGGCTATGCTTAGCCAGAAGAGCCCTAGGGACAAAAGGTTTCCTTCCTACTAAAGAAACTAGCATTAAACTACTTACATGTTACAATCATATGACCCCGTTTATCATCACTACTATGAACAGATTGTCCCCATTGCAGACTTTTTTTCAATAAACTCAGGTCACACTGAAATCCCGTAAAATAGTTAAATTTGTGAGATCACACAGTAAAACATAGTGATGCTTTAAGCATTAAAGATGACATTATTTAGTGCATAAACCAATCTCTTCTACCTTTAGCAATAGGGTTCAAAGGTTACATGATTTTCAGCACACAGTCAGCAATTGTTACTTTCCCCTATAAACCTTTCCCTGTGTTTCCAGTATACCTATGCAAGCACAACTGCTGTGTTGCACATATAGAAAGTTATAAGACTCTTATAATTCCATTTGCTCTGTGAGGTGAATTCCACTGAATCACTTCAAAGTCCTATCAATAAGGCACTTCTTTCCTGACAGCCATGTGGAATTTTCAGGCTCCAGAAATGCAGAGCCTGATCTTGTAAACACTTACACAAGGGAGGGATCTTTTGTCATGGGAATCATCCCACTAAGGTCAAAAGGGAGAGGAGTCTGAAGTCAATGGGATACTTACACAAGTAAAATAATGTACATGGGTATAGGCTTGCCAGATTAATCATGTGTCCATGCATATGATGCACATGAATGGACTGTACAGAAATGTTTTGTGTCAGATCCTCAGCTGGTATAAATAAGGATAATGCCATTGAACTCAATGATCTTCTTGAGAAATTCAAAAATCAGCAGAACTATGCTGCTTTACACCTACTGAACATTTGGCCCACATCTGGACACACTTAGAATCATTTCTGGAATTTTAGTGAAACACGGGTATTAATATTTTTATTAAGAAACATGTTCAGTCCAGATACAAACTTCTAAACCATCTGCAGGTGTTCTGATCTGGCTTTCTAATTTGAGTCCATTAGGGTAACTGGATCAAGTTATGAACTTTGGATCATCATCAGGATCTGAACTTCCTATAATATAGGGTATACTTTGGGGTATTATAGTTTGTGCCCATCTGCAGCTATGGCAGCAATTGCAAACTATGATGAGGCTGAAAAATTAAATAACTCACTTGCTGTATTTTGGTCTTTCTTTTTCATTCAACTCCTTGGTTGACAGGGTTGAGAGGGACACAGGGTCTCCCAGGAAAAGCAGGACCCTCTGGGCCAAAAGGCGAGAAAGGTTCAGTAGGTGAAAGAGGACCAACAGGCCTTAGTGGAGGCCAAGGTAAGCAGACCAATCTTTTGTTGAGATAATGGTAGAATACGTGAAGAAGTGGTCTAACTAGAATAGACAATAGCCTTTTTTGAATTATGACTGGTTTGTGCAAAAACTTTACAAATTGAGTTAGGTGAGCTTTGTCGTTTCTGTATGGAGGAGCAGAAATGCTTCAAGGTTTCTCTACATGATGAAATTGACAAACACGGCTATAAGTGGAATAATTATTTTGTGTCATGACAACAATAATTATTCTGCTATAGCTATTCCAGTCAATTTCCAAAGGAAAAGAAGCACTTAGAAGTGTGGGAATGGGGCCGTCCAGAAGATTTGCAAGGCTTAGAAATGAGCTAGGCCTTGGAGGGTCACTTGGGGGATGGAGTTTGATAAACTAGTACTTCCAAGGGAAGCCTCTTATGGGGCAGGATGGACACTACAGTAATATAGATAGGTGGAGCTCGAGGGTTCGCCCATCACTAGACTCATGTATTATTAAAACTGATAAAGTGACAAAAAAAATTCTAATTGTAAGTTTTAATGATTAAAAGTTAAAAGCCAGCGTTGCTGTGGGTATTATTGAGAATTGCAACCTGAGGGTAGTTTCCCTTTCACTCAGAGGAGAGCTGTGGCTTCATAGTATCGGCTCTTGTAAAGAAACTCAGAAATACAAAGCAACGCCTTGGTAATGTTCTACCAGTGATTTATTACAGGTCTGAGACATGGTTTCACTGAGATCTTACCTTTTTTTAAGTTCATAATTTTCAAAACTTTTCCTTGTTGTAATGAGACAGTATGAGTAATGCAATTATGTTATCGCTCAGAACTTAATCATCTTAAAATTCAAGTGAGAGAGTTGCAAGCACAACTGAAGGCCTTGCAAGCTACTGTCAGCAAAGCCCAGAAAGGTAAGCAGGGTGAAGTGGCATGTTTTCCAATCACTGACAAATGGGCCCAACCAGAGAAGTGATGTTTAGATCCAGCTTCAGATGTGAACTCCCTCGAAGTTCAAAAGGATTCTGGTTGAGGCCAGTCTTTAGTCACTGATACTTTGAACCTTCCATCTATTGTCTGATGCTTTTGTAAAGGAATTCCATTCTGATGCATCGGGAAGTAGGGGGCCACTACTGCAAACAGTCACTCCCACATGTGTACTCCCACATGTGTACTTAAACTTAAGTGGAGTCCTATTGCGGTTAACCAATGAGATTATTCCCCAGTAATAAGGAGGAAACGGGGGAGGAGGGGTGACTGAGCCCCAGTGCATCTCAGAACTGTTCCTGGATAGTTCACCATACATACACACCCTCCTTCAGAGCTGTGCCAAAAGTCACTATCCAGTCCTTAAATAACAATAATACATCAACTGTAAGATTTCTCCTGTGTGTGTTTGTTTCAAGCGTTTTCCCCTCAGGGCCCCGTAGTCTCAATAAAAGATTAAACCCTTTTTAAGCTCCTGGTTTGGAGCTAATAGAACTCAGCTGCCCTGGCATCAGAACACATCGGCAAAAATAGCTGTGCATTTCAACACAGAGTTCTGACATTAGGGTTAGTCACAAAAGAGCCCTCTTTTTTATGTAGGCTCCCAGAAGCAGCTTTCCCATTATAGGATGATAAAAGTAACGTGGATGTACTATGCTAATGTGTTTTCCTAGTCCTGCTTTTCCCAAATGGCATGACTGTCAGTGAAAAAATATTCAAAACTGAGGGCTCCGAAGGCGACTTTGAGACTTCAAAAGCTACATGTTCCCAAGCTGATGGCCTGCTTGCTTCTCCAAGGAATTCTGCAGAGAATAGCGCCATCCAACAAATAGCAGCTAGGCATAAAAAAATGCCATTTCTTGGAATAAATGACATACAGACAGAAGGCACATTTAAGCATCTAAATGGTGAAGCATTAGGATACTCAAACTGGGCATCAAACGAACCAAATAATTCTGAAGGAATAGAGGACTGTGTAGAAGTACATTCAAGTGGCAAGTGGAATGACAGATCCTGTGCAGAGAAACGTTTAATAATTTGTGAATATTAATCTACCTGCCCTTTTGGTTATTTGTCACTTAGTACAAATGTGCATACAGCTTTACATATGGTTAATTATATCAATTTACAGTAGCCCTACGTTTTGAACATTGTGCTGCATCAGTAATGTAAAACATACAGCTGTCTACTGTATGTGAAAAACTGTGGTCCAATAAAATAATCATGCAACACTGATCAGTGTACTGAGCTGGTTAAAAATGGGGATATATTACAAATGCTGTGAGATGATTGATGCCCACTCATTTTCAGATTGCCACTGTTCCATACAAGGACCCATCCTGGGAAATCCATAGGAATTAGACACATGGCATGTTTGTAACTTAAAAGGCTACAAGATGTTCACTTTGTTCCATATAGAGCCACCTGGCAATGCATTATCTTGACAGGCAGGTACTTGGGATGAAAAGTCAAGTGGCAGAATTGAAATTTCAGGATTCCCTTCCATCTCTATTTACAGGCATTTCTGTATCTAGGATCTGATTGTTACAATCTTTTTAATAAGTCACTGTTGAAATGGAAAACTCTAGAAGCATTTGAGTTGCATCCCAAGGGTTGCACTGGTTTAACTAGATCAATTTTATTGCAATCTATTCAGTTAAACTTTTCTAATGCAAACTAGGCCTGTGTTTGTGTGTTTGGATTAGAACTTGGCGATTTTTTTCAGCAAATAGTAAATTCACAAAAAAAAATAATTTTGGGGGGGAGGGACCACTGAAACTATTCATAAATTCAGGTCACATTTGTCAAATAGTTTCAGCCAAAAAAATGGCAATTTTTTGTGAAAACATTACAACTTCTTGTTTCTATCATTTCAAAATTAAACATTTAGACGTTTTGTTTCAGAACAGTGCTTCATTTAGAAATTTTGCTAAGGGGGGGGGATTGTTTTGAGTCAATTTAAGCGTTTTGTTTGACCCCAAACTAATTTTTCCCTTTTCTTTTAATTTTGGTAAAAAAAAAATCAGTTTTGGTTGGACCCTCAAACTGAAAAATCAATTATTCACTCAGCTCCTTAGTGTCTCTCTCCAGAACCTTTCCCCAGGCTCTGCCTTTTCTCCCCATGAGCCAAAACACCAATTGGTTAGCCATCAGCAGACACCCTGAGCGGCCAGCTAAGGGACTCCTCCCTTCTCCCCTGGCCTGAGAGAACTTTAGGACCTAGAAACAAAACCATGGGAAAGGAGATGATCCTGCTATTAGAAGTAGCACCCTGCTGGGGAGAGAAATCTAGAGTAAGGAGGTACATGGATACTGTGGGCCAGGTTCCGAGAAGTTGGCGGAGGGGGCATAGCCACTGCTACTGCCAGTCACTCCTGCAACTCAGCATAATGTCTTATCCCTGTGGCTTTGATTCATTACACAAAGATGCCCATTGCAATGCCAACTCTTCCCATTTCAGTTGCCATCAACTGTTCCCCACAACCAGCACTCCAATCAACCTCAAGCTGCCCTTCTCTCTCACCACCAATGAGAGATCCAACCTCCGTCCACACTGCCAGCTGGTGACTGGCACTTAGACATCACACAGCAGTGAAGGAATTAATTTAAAATGGCCTTAATTGCTTAAAACTTTTACCAGAAGTTGCTCTTACATACCCGACTTCTCACCAGTAAACAAAAATAATCAAAGAGGTTTTAAGCAAGGCAAATATTTCCCATGGCTAGTTAAGACCCTGCTGCAGGGAATGCCAGACATAGCTGGATGTTGTCGAATGGTACAGAGTGTTAGGAGAACAACATTGTGTACTCTTCCATTTCCTTACACAAAAGCAGCTCCATTTACTGGAATGAGAGGGAAAAAAGTGTTAAGGATAGAAATGTGCAGTGTTGGGCGGGGGTGGAGGGAGGGGAGGGTTGATGTTTTTAAATTAAACTGCAATGTGGCCAAGGTCTGCATGAGGCGAAGCAGTCAACAGCAAGTATTTTCCTAAAACCCACATCCAGTACCAGTAAATAGTGAGATATCAGCTTCAGTTGTGCAATCCATAGAGTTGTGCAAGGACAGTGATAACAAGGGAATACCTTTAGTCAATATAAATCTCTTTTCACTGCCTCTGTTAGCAAGTCTAACATACTCTTGCTTTCTTATGCAGCTAGGGAGAAATCCACTGGATTTGTTAAGGTTTCTTGTACACTGCATTCAGTTACATCATCAGTCAGATAAGCTGGCAGTGCGTCACATTGCTTCATTGTGTATTGGGTAAGTAAAGGTAGGTGCTGGTAGGTAATTATTAAAATTTGAGCAAACTAAAGCCTTCACTTTACAGTTTGGATACAGTGGGTCAGAAGGAATTCAGACAGTTATTCTGCAAGCAGGTGTGACTGGCTGATTTCTGGGTCTTGCTGCTTCCCAGTGACCTCAGGATGAGAAAGGTGATGATGATGATGACTCTGTTTGAAGATAAATTCTCCCTAATAGCTGAATTTGTGGAGTTTCCCTTTTAGAATCTCAGGTTTCTTGGATAACGGCCCTTTGTTGTGACTCTTGTGTCTGTGGGGCTGCCACTGGGATTTTCAGGGCCCAAGCCCAGAAGCAGAATCAGGGCTACTGTGATCCTGTCCCACAGAGTCAACAATCCCATACCAATCTTTTTGCTCCACTCCCTCTTGCCTCAGAGCATTCAACCCTTCACCTGTCCCAACTCCCTTGGTGTTTCCTTCTACTACTACTTGCCTCTGTCCCCTCACCCAGCATATTGTCCCCATTCACTGTTCCCCCTTCTCTCTCGCCCCTCTTACCAGTTTCTGTTCTCTCCTCTTCCTCTGTTTTTGTCCACCCTTGTCCCTGTACCAGTGTAATAGTTCCATGGCAGCAGTGGGCTGGTCAGGGCTCCTGGTGCTGTGTGAGTGCAGACAGCACGCTATCTTTACCAGCACCCACCCCCCTGTATTGGCTCTCCAGAGTAATTGCATCACCGTAGACCTGCCAATGAGGTAATGCCAGTCTCAGCTCCCCTTCCTCACCTTATCTTTATGCCCAGGTCTGGGGCAGTGGCCTCGGTTTCCTGTCCCGTCGCCCTTGGTGTCAGTGGTGGGTGTCGATATGTTGATGAATTGTAGTCAGAGTACTTGGCTGTGTCACTGTGAGCACACATTATTTCATAGGTGGCTTATTGATGGTACAACAAATGTCACCTACTGAAATATGAGATCCTGCCTGCTACGCATTTTCAAAGCTAATCGTGAATAGTCATTCCAGAAAGTCTGTCTCTTTCACCCAGTTTTCCTTATAACTGGCCCTGAGAAATGCCTCTTTATGTTACATTTATTCCACTTCTGTTTTTTAAAGAGTACCAAGCACTGTATAGAGTAGGCAGATGTCTCTTTTTTCTCAACTATTTCTTGCCGTACCATGGACAAGTGGGAGCATCACTTGGGACCAAATTCTGCTCTGACTCACTCTCGTATAACTTTCCAAACAATCGGTCTCAAATTCTGTCACCCTTACTCATGCTGAGTAGTACTTTACTCCATGAGAAATCCCATTTGAAATGACTGGAACTACTCATGGAGTAGGGTATTACTCAACATGAGTAAGTGTGGTAGATCTATCTTTTTGCTATTTCTGTGAAAAGCAATTCCTTGCTTGTTCCCTTCTGTTCAGGAATCAGCACTTGCGGGGGAAATGGAAAAAGTCAACACAAGAAGAGCAGCCATTTGTGCTTCTTACCTAAACCCTCAGCACGGGTGTTGGGGCAGAAAATCTTCAGGATTTTTCTGGGGTGCTGCACAGGGAGTGATGGGACCAGCTGGAGAGTCTTAACACCATTTTGCAGTAGCTAGGCAGGCACTTCAACTCTCCATGTATGGAGATGAGAGGAACAAAGGAGCAGCAGAGAACCGAATAAGAGAGTACGTATGTGTGGGATGCCAGGGCAGGCAAGCTGCAAAACATCAGAAGGAGTCTGAAGCACTGGCAGATGAGCAGGCAAATAGCAAAGGGAGGGAGTAGGTGAGGGACGATTTTTGGAGGGGAAGCATCAGGGCTTTTTTGGAGAGATGAATAACTTGTTATTTTGAAATTGTCCTCACTGTTACCTTATGGCCTCATCAGCTGTTATTGAAAGAATGGGTTGCAATGAGTTTTTCATTCAGTGCTCACTTTTCTTGTTTCTCTTAATTTCTCATTCTTTCCTTGTTTGGAGATGAAGGGAGGAGAGCATGGGAAGCTGGTGAAGATTGGAGAGGAACACTTTTTGTTGGAAGATTAGTAAATTATCATGCATGAGTCATGCCTCCTCCCAACAAAATGTGCCCTAATGGTTAGAGCAGGAAGAAACAAGGCTGTGATTTCCTAGATCACATTGTTAGCTCTGGGGTCAGTGATCTGTTAGCTAGTGCCAAGGAGCTCAGTACTCCACAAGTAGGTCCAGAAGTAACTTTTCTTTCTAGCTCTGTGGAAGGATTGTGCATTAGTCTTTGGGGAAAGGAAATATGGGAGTCAGGCTAAGGATTGGATACATTTTTGTGACGCTTAAAAAGAAAGAGCACTAAATCCAGGTCCCACTGACGTTAATGGCAAAAGTCCCATTGTACTGGATTTTCTTTTCCCTTACATAAGTTTTATACTAACTAGATCTTCACTGACTTAACTGGCATTACTCCTGATTTTACACTGACTGGCGGATGTGAGAGGAAAATCACTGGCTTTCAGTATTTGGCCCAACGAACTAAAAGTTGAAGTAAACCGGTATTCATGGCAGTTTGCTGTTTGTTTCAGCTCTATACAAAATACTTTAATTCCTGGACCTGATTGCTTCAAATTAGAGACTCATTAATCAAGCTCAATTAGTGAGTACCTTTTGCAGAGAGTTAGCCACACAATGACTTCTGTTATTGTCATCACTTTGATATGTGCTCCCTGGAGTCACCATACATGGAATCCAAGAGTACTTCAGGAATGATAATGCGATAGCAACATACCTTATTTACATGCAAAACTCAATTGCTCATCAAGTATTAATTGGGAAGCAATCAGGCAGCAGCTACGTGGAAACAATGAGTCAAACTCACTGTATTTTAATGTATTTTTTATTTGCATTGGGATTAGTGATGAGTAGCTATGTAGAGGAAAAGAACATGATGAGATGTACTTCACTCCTGATATCTGTGGAGCTGTAATCACACATTCAGGCACAATAGCTGGTTGGTTTAAATTCTGGCTTTGGGTTTGAGCAATCCTCAGTTCAAATTCCATATGAGTCCTTCAGGAGAATGAATCCCCTGGTACTTTTACATTTAAAATAAGAGAGAACAAAACACTAATAAGCTCATGAACTGGCAGGAGAATGAATTGAATTCTAATAGGTATTTTCCCGGTCTAACATCTACAGTCTGCTATAGACTTCATCATGTAGTCTACAACAGACTACTGACTAAATCTGGGGCCTGCCAGATTCTTTATCTTGTAGCTCTTATTGGGCTTCTTTGAACTGAACTTCCAAATCTTCCCCTATCCCAATCACGGCTCACAATATGAATCAACAAGGCCCAAACAGCTCTCAGAAATCTCCCCTCACTACTATCCTGCCATCATTATTTTTAAGGATCTTTAACAATGCTTGTGTGGTGTAAAGGGGCCTTAGTGCAAATGAGAACCAGGTTCTAACAATCTTGACCTCGGAGGTGTATCTCCTACACAGTGATGATAGAACAACCTACATACAGACACTTATGTGATTATTCCCTTTTTATTAATCACAGATCTACAGGCTTGACAATGCATCTCTGTCAGCCTTTCAAAGCTCTGGTGCTGGCTGTGGCATTGATGATGTCATCAGGTGTGGATATAAATAAACATGAATGCATGCCCAGTCCTTCAATGTTGTGCTCCTGGAACCAATGGTTTATCAGGCAGAGATGGAAGAGATGGGAAAGAGGGTCCCAAAGAGGAAAAGGGAGACCAAGTTACAGTACTATAATCATTTACCAAGATTATATCTGTGACCCGTCTATCAGTCCCCATCCTTTGTCTTCTGCCTTCCCTAGCTCCTTCTCTGATTTTGTCTCTCTCTTGGAACTTTAAACGTTCTCTCTCTCCTCTGGCTGCTTTTAAGTATGCTCTTATGCCCCATCATTAGAAAAAGCATCCATCAATTTCACTTTCCCCCCCCCAGCTTTGGCAGAAGCCTCGCAGGCTGTTCTATGCAGGCAGGCCCTTGTGCCCAGTCAAAGCCTCATTAACTTCTACTAGGCGCTCTACAGATGTGGGGATCTGCTTGCACGGAGCAGCTTGCAGGATCAGGGCCTATGTTTACAAAGCACTGTAATGCATTTACAATGCTATTCCATGTATATGTGATTTATAATAAGAATAGTTGATTAACAGTTATTCTCACAGAATAACAAAAGTTAGAGCTCATTTGTAGATCTCACAACAGATTTGTTTCCTAAAGTTAATTATTGAATGCTTTGTCCAGTCCAATTTTGAATATCCCAGTAGAGCTGGTTGGGAATTTTTCATCAAAATATATATTTTTTTGCTAATTGATTTCTTTTTAACCAAACACTAGGAGCAGGACTGAGGGGTTTGCAGGGTTTCCCTGGAAAGGCAGGACCTCAGGGAACAAAAGGAGATCAAGGACCACAAGGCGAAAAAGGACAAAAGGGAGAAAGTGCAAGTGAGAAGTCGACTCTCTCTGACTCAGGTATTCTGGTCAATATCTGTTGTCACGTTTTGCATGGAGAAATTTGGTAGGCTCATGGCAATGTCCTGTATTTCTTTTCATCACTATTTGGGGGTGAAGAGCTCTCCCAAAGCTTTGGGGAGAATAAATGGTAATTGACATGGCACAACTACTGTATAGGAGAACAGGGGACAAACCCAAGCAATATGGAAATATTCCCTGAAATGTGTTCACACGACTCACCTTTGCCTACAGAGGGGCATGTGTTAGTTTTATCTCCTTCTCTTTTAAGATAACTGATATTTTTTTCTCCCTTTTGCTCCTCTTCCCAGTCATGTTTCCTCTTTGCTTTCCATCTTTGTGTGGAACACATTTGTTACTCTGTAGAAACACACTTTAAAAAAATATTCTAACTGGAAAAAAATTAATCCCTAGAGCTATCCCCACACACAGATGACTGATTCTGATTAAAGTGGAAGTGGTGACCAGTGACAGAGAGAAGATCCTCATCTGATTAGTGTGTGTGTACCAGTACCCAGTTTGAAATGATGTTTGGGTTCCCAGCGAAGAAAGCAAAGATGTCATTTTTAGAGCTGGGTGAAATTTTTCATCCAAAATTTTTTTCAACAAAAAATGCTGATTTAGGTCAACCAAAATATTTTGCAAATCCATGTCAATTTCACTCAATTATTTTTGTTTGGGGAAAACAAACAAATTCTGAAAAAGTCTGAAATGTTTTGTTTTCACACTTTTTAAAAGAAAGTTCAGATTTTTTGTTTTAAATTTTCCTTCAATTTCATTAAAAATGTTAAAAGCTCAAAATCAAAATAACACATTTTTTTCACAAAATGTGGGGGTTGTTTATTTATCTGTTTGTTTTTTATTTTTGTTCTTGTTGTTGTTTAATTGCAAAACTGCCAGTGAACCAAAAAATCAGTTATCACCCAGGTGTAGTCATGTTGTGAATATATTTGGAGCTGGCGACCCCTGGTTAGGGCATCATGCCGCCCACCCATACAGTAGCAGTTAGGCAACTGGCCAGTCCAAAGGCAATGATTGTATGGTAATTTTGAAATGATTTATTACATGACTCCCCAACTGTTTTTCTTAGCATTTGATGCTCTTCAAAGACAAGTGACTACTTTGGAAAAGAACATCCAGACTCTTCAAGCTGACGTTAGCAGACACCAAAAGTGTGAGATATGTTTACATGATTGTATTTTTGGGGTGGGAAGAGGGAGGGGGGAATCTTTGCAAGTAAAGGGGTGATAATAGCAGCTTAAACACTGTACAGCCTTCTCCCACACACTGCCCCTAACAAATGGGCTTCAATCCTAGCCTGCCTTGACAGTGTAGATTCCTCACAGTCCCAGCCATGCCAACATCCAGTTATCACTAAGTCATGCCCAGTTATTGTGCAAGGGCTTTGTTACATGGGCAAATGTCCACACAGGTGATTTCCCAGGAGTCTTCTCTATGCTAACATCTGCACTACTACTGGCTCAGTTGCACTGGTTGTAGCAGTGATGGGAGGGTCCTAGACATCTAATGCACAGGGTCCTAGACATCATTGCCATAGGGACATCCTGGGTGAAAGAGCTCAGCTGGCTGCTGAGAGTGGGTTGTCTTCATCTGTTCTAAGCAGGCTTAGATGACACAGTGAATAAAGTATAAGTTCCCTGTCTTCACTAGCTCTTCCACCATATATGCCCGAGGTGAATTTTCCCTCATTTTAGTGCAACAGAGGGAAATGCTACTGTGTATTCATCTCCCTTTCTCTGCAGTACAATTTTATAACATGGTTTTTCAGTCAAAAGATCTCCGTTCATATTTGTCCTGGAAATCATTCAAGAAACCAGCTAGCTGCTGTTCTGTTTCCAAATAGTTGCTGCTAGCACAGTTTCATCTATAATGTTGGCAGAAGTCACATTATTTGTATAAGTGTCGTTTGTTACTTACAAAGTGCAATTAATGTGCCTAGTGTTTTGTGGGTAAATTCTTACAGTGAGATTAACTTCCCCCATAACGCATGTAAAATTTTCATTTTAATTATCTCTTTTGTTTCTAGTTTTTTCTTTGCGGTGGGTCAAGAGTGTTGGTAAGAAAACATTTATGTCAACAGGCACAAAAGATTCTTTTAAAAATGGAAAATCCCTGTGTGCAAAAGCTGGAGTTGCACTCGCCTGTCCACACAATCATGCTGAGAACACGGCCTTGCAAGAAATATTGAAGGATTCAGAACAAGCGTATTTAGGGATGTCTGATGTGCAAACTGAAGGCAAATTTCTGTATCTGAATGGAGAACCTGTAACTTACACAAACTGGAACACAGGAGAACCAAACGATAACAAGAACGAAGTCTGTGTTGCAATATATGACAATGGAAAGTGGAATGACATAGTTTGTTCAAATTCAGAAATGTTAATTATTTGTGAATTTTAATCTTTTCCCATGATACGTTCTGTCACATTCCAAAGTCCATTTAAAGCTATGGAAATGCTCCAATTGACTTACTTGGTAGAGCTGAATAAATAACGGATTTTTCAGTTCAGTGACCAAACTGAAAAATCTGGGCTGGGGGGAGAATTAAATTCAAACTGACACCAATTATTTTTTTTTTAATTTTCCCTCTCATTGTAAAACTTGAAAAAATTTCATTTAGCGTTGACCGGAATGTTTTGGTGAACTTGCAATAATTTTTTTTTCAAGTTATTCATTTGGATTTGATTGTTTTCAGGTACTTTTCAATTGCTCAGATTTGAATTTGAAATACTGTTTTGAAACAAAATGTCAAAACATTTCGACATGGTCAAAATGAAAATGTTTCAACTTTTAAAAAAATCATTTTTTACTATTTGTCAAATTTGACCCAAATTCTCAAATAGTTTTGGATCACTGACATTTTTGACAAAAAAATCTATTTGCTGGAATTCACCCTGATCTACTAATGGACTAAGGGCCCCAGAGTTTAATTCAGGGCTCAGGAAATTTTATATCTAGTCTAATCGCAAGGGTATATAGAGTGTAACAGATCCAGAGCTGCAGATCACAACTGGATGACAAAGGGCTGCAAAGGTGATAACATTTCCAGTGTCTGGCATGAGCGAAGTATATTCAAAAGATGGAAAGGGTGTTGAATAGGTGTCATTGTTTTTCTTCTTCAAATAATATGTCATCTAGGGACAAACCCCTGTATAGTTATTTATTCTCTCTCATGCTTCTGTACTAACCTGAAGTATTGTCATCTCCCAGGTACCCTGCACTGGAAGAAGTGCTTCTTTTTTTGTCGATGGTTACTGGTTCAGATGACCATGTACCAAAGCAGCCACTCAAATACCCAGGGAGTGACTATGCAGTATTGCTTGTTTTGTGGTCAGGCAGAAAGGCCTCTTCTGTCCCCACACAACCTAGAAACAGTCACAGTTTGTTCTGAACAGCTTTGTGCACATAGGACATTCCCCTAAAGAGTAACCAGAAATAGAGCTTCTTGACAGTTGTTTTCTCCTTGTCATAGAGAGATTCAGACTTGAATTCCCTAATGAAAACTTAAAGGTAATTGTTCATTCATTAGGAATTAAGTTGCCTTGAATGTAATGGCACTATTGCTAATGAGTGGTGCTCAGATGGCTGGTTGATGTACCTTCTTCGGGGTTCCTGTGTAATTAAGCATGAGGAAAGCCTTTGCTAATGAACCAGCATCCCGTGGTTCTTCTCTCTAGGAACAATCACAGTTCTCAGCTTAGAGTTAAGATGCAAGCTTGGAGCACTCTTACTACATCATGTTATTGGTACATTCTTGTCCCTTTTTGTATGTAAATAACTGCAGTGCATAATGTTCATGGTCCTATGTGATTTCAGCCTTTAGTGATGACATTGCTCCTAATGTGTGTTTACTCTAGTACTAAAATTAATTGAAATAAGTGTCACGTAGACGCTTGAATGCCATTATGTCCTATGGATCCTTATGCTCCATAACAAAAATCATTAACATGCAGAGTATTCCTAGAGCATTAACCATTTTCATAGTTTTCCATGCAGCTAGGGAAAACTGCAACATGCTATAAGAGAGATCTTAAGTGCTGTATCTGGTCAAAAGAAGAATATAACATTAAAATACATTTAAATGTGTCCTATGTGTAATCAAAATTACAATCCAAGAGGAAGATGCTTTTTTGACAATCTAGTTTGACACACAGAAAATGCAGCTCACCATTTGAATGCAGCAGAAGGCAGGAGACTCTCAATGTTGTTACATTACATCCGAGGGCTTGGCTCCCTCATAATTCTCAAAATGGCCTAAATGTGATTTAAGTGACTCAGAGGCTATTGCTGGCCCTCTGCATAGGGAAAACTTTCACCCAGTATGCACTGTAATGAGGTGATCACATCCCTTGCTGGATTATTCAGAGAAGGTTAATTCCCTGCAAAGGGAGCCAAGCATAGACTTTGTCACACCCTGTCAAACTTGCTGGGTTTGGTAATTAAGGAAAAAGTTTCCTTAATTAGTTTCTGGGCATGAAGACTGACCAACGTTTGGTCTTGTCCAGAAAAAAGCAGGAATTGTCCAGCTCTTCCTCTCCCCAGCCTGAGGAGACATCAGAGCTGAGCAGGTCTCAGGACTGACACACACAGGGGGCTGAAATGAGGACTACTGCAGTCCTGTCAGAGGACTGTACCATTGGACTGAGTCTCACAGCTATGGCTGTTATGTTTTTCTTTACTTTATTTATTTTAGAAGCAGACAAGACAACCTGTGTAGGAAGAATGAAGTGGATGTTTGAAGCTGAAGCAGATGACTGCTTCATTAGTTGGGGTGTTGGGGACGTAGCATGTAGTTAGATTGAGAGCTCGCCTACATATCAGTGGTGCCTCCTGAAAGTGATGAATGGGCACCCCCACAACCAAAATAGAAAGGACTCTTTCTGAAGCCCAGCACTGTGTTTGACTGGTGTGGTTTTCTGTTTGGACTTGTATACCCTGGAAGGGGAGTACTTTTTAGTTTGGCCAGAGAGCGAACTGCCCTATCAGCAGAAGAAGGCTGCAGAAGGACACTGAGCAGCTCCTGCTGACTAAGGGGTAAGACAGCCCCAGACAGCACAAAATGCTATTCTTATCTCTTAACAGAACTTAATGTACAAGGGTTCTGAAAGCACAGTTGTCTAAGATACCTTGTTAAACTAGCAACTGACACTGAAAATCACCAGCAACATTCGCTACTATGGAGACATTCATATGGCACCTAATACATTCCTTTCCCTTTCAAAGAGTAAACTCCAATCCTGCAAACACTGCCAGATTTAGGTCCTGATTCTCCAAGGTGCCAAACACCTGTAATTCCAACTGAAATCAGTGGGAGATATGGGTGCTCACCAGCTCAGAAAATCAAGCTCTAGGGCTCCTATTCAGGAAAGTACTTAAGAATATGCTTAACTTTAAGCAAATGCTTCAGTCTTTTGCTGAATCAGGGTCATAGCCTAACAAACAGAAATAGCCCCACTGACTTCACTCGTCCTTTCAACGGGACTATTCCAATCACTTGGTAGTAAGTTTTTATAAGACTCGGACCTTAATTTTTAACCCATCTTCAGACAAAATCCTCTAGTAAAATCCTCCTGGGAATCTGGATCCATGCACTTGAACAAACGCAAACTCATGCCAACTATCTTCACTCCACTCCTGTTGCACTCTTACCGCTAGGTGGCATTATAACACATAACATGTATATGCAAAATGTTGTACTTCCAAACCAGTCAGCCAGAAAGGAAGTACCCAACTACACCTTTCTCTTGGGGAAGGAATTTGAATATGACTTTTCTTCTCAGATAATATAGCCAGATAATCAACACTTTGGAAGTCTGAAGGTTTGTCAGCCTCTCAAAATATATAAGTGTTTTAAGTTACAAAGCTAGTTGAAATTCACAAAGCCCTCCCTTCTCAACAGCAGTATTGCTAACCCCAAGCATTCAAAAATCATGAGTCAAGATCCAAAAACTCATTAGATTAGCTTTAAAATCATATTTTTTAAATAATATGTTTAGGGTTCTCTTTATTTGCCTTCTACGTTATGAGCCCTTAAGTTTAATATTTTCAACCTTTCCTCTGCAACCAGGAAGGCTAGAAACCTTTTTCTAAGAGTCTTACATAGTAACCTGGCTTTAGGAAAAACTTCAAATAGCATTAGACTCAGCCATAAATCATAGTGTAACTCTCTCTTTTCAAGGATGAGACAACTGGAAAAATGAAGGACACCTGTATTCCCAGCTAAAGTGATTTCTGTGTTACACTTAAGGGACAGAATCATCACCCAAAAGCACAAACTGGCCCTTGTCAGTTGACTTGTATGTGAAATACGTCATGTTAGAGTTACATTAAGATACATATGTATATCTGTCCAGTTTGATAGATAGACATGTTTGTATGCTATTCATCTAATATTGGTTTTTATAATATGCACTGTGTACAGATCTCTCCACTCTGGGCCTTTTGGTATGTTTTGTAGACTAGAATAGAATGTGAAAGAATACTACATTTCCTCACTGCTAACACTGGATCTGAAAAACAGAGTCAGAGAGGCCATGAAGGAAGGAATAAGAGACAAATAATGAAACTGTGAATTATTGCTTAAAAATGTGTGTTGTCTCAGGGAAACAAAAAGTAGCAAATATTAAGTTGTTGAAAATTGTGAGCAGATTCTCTTTTAGCAGTATCCTTCTACTTCCAACCAAGTCTAAATCCACTATTCTGTAGTAATCCTATCCTCTTCCATAATACAGTAGCAGCCATTGTGGTATTAATTTTATATCTTCTTTATTATTATGACTAGTAAAATCTTTTTTTGCACAGATCAGGCCACAGGGAGGCACATTACAGCAGTAGAACAGTAATTATTGGTACTGGAGAAGGTTATACATTTTCTAAAGCATACGCAGATCTGCATTATATTTTCCTTGTCATCATTGGTAACTGTAGCGGGGTGGTTACCCCACTCCTGCCCTGAAGGGCTTAAAACGGCCCAGAAGAAGCCTGGGCTGATTGGGGAAAGTGGGCTCAGCTGTGGCCATGCCCCAATCAGGCCCAGCTGGCCTGTATAAAAAGGCTGTGAGGAGCTCAAACAGTTTCTTTCTGTGCTTAGAGGGAGATGGTCTTGGCTGCAGGGAGCTAGAGACAGGGTACCTGAGTGGAGCAGGGCTGTGGAAAAGCTGGGGAGCTCTAGCCTGGAAAGCCCCAGGCAGAAGGCCAAGGGGTACTGGGGGTTGCAGAGGGCAGCTTGGGGTAGGCCAAGGCAGCAGGTCCAAACCCAACCTTGCCAGTGATGAGTAGGCTGATACTGCAGTCTGCCCCAGAGTGGGGGGCTAGATGATGACTGGCAGTAGCCTTCTACTGAGATGAGGTGGGGATTGTGGGTTGGGGTTCCCTTGGGAGGGGAGACCCTAAGACTGAGG